AAAAAAAAGGATAATGTCTAATGTCTTTCCCATTTAGGATTAAACTAATTCAGGCGATAAAAATGCAATGAATATGAGCAGCAACTCAGGGGTTCAAATTCCCTTTCTATATAAGGCAAAGATATAATTTTACTCCTGATTTTTTTAGTAGTGTAATTTTACTGATGGTCTTCTTTTATGCAATTTTACCTCTAGAATTTGGGTGCAATTTTAGGCACCCAGCAAAAAAATCACGAGAAAAATTGCATAACTAAAAAGAACTAGGATAAAATTACACCTGAAAAATAAAATTAGAAATAACATTGCACCTTTAGCCTTGTGTGTGTGTGTGTATATATATTTTAAAAAAAGGACCATATCTTTCTACTTTCTTGTGATGTAACCAGTTGTGACAGAAAAATATGGGTAAAAAATGGCAGCATAGATCCATATTTTCAAAGTTTGATAAGAAAAACTGTGATGCTAATTAGTATGATTCAAAAGCTGGACACTTCATGGCGAGCAAAGAAGAGGCCAGAAGGTGAACCATTTGGGAGCAAAGCTAATCTTACAACACTAGCAGCACCATCTTCCACAGATAAGATACCACTGTTTCTGTTAATGTCTGTTTTTACGAATCCAGGACAGACACAGTTAATACACATGTTTGGGTACTTTCTCGCCAGAATCCTTGTGTAAGAATTCATGGCTGCTTTTGAAACCATATAAGCAGACAGAAAAGTTGGCCATCCTTTGGCTTCCACTGTTCCTTCTTTGAAGTCTTTGACAAACTCTCTTACTACCTCATCTAGTCTCTCCTCTGTAAGATCATCAACACCATCAAGCACCCCTGTCGCCCACTTGTTCGGTATGTTCTGAAACAATGGCATTAACCAAATTTGATGTTGCTCTAGTGGTTATCCAAAATCACAATTGAGAATAGAAAGGAGATTTGAGAGGTTTGGGGAATTAATATAAATGTATAGGAAAGTGTATTATTCACAAGTTTTGACCAATACAGCTCATTCTAAGTTTATTGCGAATCTACAAGGCTCACTCTGGTTTTAATAAAATAGAGAGGATATTTTGTATCAGTTTTGAAAATAGGGGGGAAAAGTCTGTAATTTCAGCAAAATTCAAAGCAAGTATATGCAATGTACCTTCAACAACCCTGCTTGGGAGGAAACATTAACAATCCTTGGAGAATTGGACAGCTGAAGAAGGGGAAGAAAAGCCTCCGTTGTTTCCTTAGCGCCATAGTAGTTTGTTTGCAGACATTTCTCAGCCAACTCATAAGTTTGAGTCAATGCCCTCCAATTGTAAGGTGGGCCCTCCCCCTGTACAATAATTAAAAACAAATCTTTTTTGGTGATTAATACAAATATACACGAATAACACAGTAGAGAAAACAAGCTCATTGACTGACCAACTCATCCAAATTTAATCCGCTGATCGCTGCATTGTTCACCTGCAAAACAATGATTCACATTCGTAAAAGGCAAAAAGGACAAACATTTTTTAAAAATTATTGAGCCCTGAAAATATTAGACCCCCGCCTAAGCCACAACAGATTGACCAACTAGTTTGTATCAACATCAGCAAGGTCAGATACAGGTCATTCATTCATTTCGCAGATAAATAATAAAGCAAACAGTGGCTTTAGTTTGACCTGCCAAGGGGCATTTCACGTCTAAAGTGGTTGAGTGTTTCAAAGCTTCCAAGGTTGGTAACTAACTAAAAGGGAAGGAAGGAAAAAGGGACACAAGGTGTTCTTAAATAGTTTCAGTTCTTTAACACAACACACACACACACACACAATCTATTCAGTCTCCAATGCACAGTGTTCTTATCATCTCAAACACATCTTACACGAAAGCTTGCGATGCTCGATGTGGGAATAAAGCGCAAAGCGTCATTTTCTGTACTAAAGTCTAATTTAGTTATAAGGATGGGGATGGCAGAGATCTCACGTTTGACCACCAGTCACAGGGTTAATCCAACCAGAAAAATGCCCGCTAACTTTTATTCAACAATTTCTACCAATTTAGAACGATGAAAACTTCATTTATTCTAAGCTTTCTCCAAAGAGATATAGAGAAGGTTGTTTGTAACAAAATATATTCCAGACGTTTTATTTTATTTTATTTTTTGGTGAAGAATGTCAATTTTCGAAGTAACTTTCTAAGAACATAAACGCAAAAACATAATCAAACAGTAAACTGTCGCTGTCTTTAAAGATTTCATATTAACCAACTGAAGTACAAGAAGCATTTGAAAGTAAGAAAACTCAATTCCAAGCAGTCCTTTTATCTGTGAAGAGTCATAACAAGCTATAATTACCGATTAATCTCGCTAGGAAAAAAAATATTAGGGAGATTTATTCAAGGAATTGATGCTCATGAAAATAGTTCAGTGCATGCAAGATTCCAATTCGTCAATTCCCTTCCACTGAACGAAAAGAAGAATAAAAAGAGCGTTGAGAATATTCGCCGCTATGGACATTTCATTCTTACCAGAATATCAAGTCTCCCAAATTGGGTTTTAACAAAATCCACAAGAGAAGCAATACTAGCGGTGTCCATCACATCAAGCTGATGAAAAATTACAAGGTGGGAGATGCCAAAGGCTTTCAATTTCTCAAGGGCTTCGAGGCCCCTCTTCTCATCTCTTGCTGTGAGAACCACCTTGACTCCATTGGAGGCCAACATTTTCACAGTCTCCAACCCGATCCCTCTGTTCGCCTGTAACAACACCATACCTGAAACCACAACCAATGCTACCAAATCAACATATGTACGCAGTGAACAAAATGAAAGGATCTTATAAACATGCGAATAGATTTGTTCAAATAGGGAGGAAGACAAAGATGCGATAGTGGTAGTACCTTTCTTTAGGTTCCGCCATTGATGCAGAAACTGCGCAGGATGGAGGATTATAAGCGGAAGCCAAAATATATAATTATCGCAAACTAGATTCAAACTTTGACCTTGGGAAGAGAGATACGTAGGAATACGTGAGACCCGTTTGATACTCAGCAGCTTGAGAAGGAAAACATCAAAGCAAAGGACAAAGAATCCATTGAAATGTGTGAGCTAGAAAGAAAGCCGAAGCGAGTCATTGATCATGATGATTCAGATTCAGAATCAAAGAGAGCCTTCCACGGCCTACTTTTGTCGTGATTATCATCATCCTTGTTTTATAGATTAAAAGTGATGACTCCGGCAAAAAAATAAAATAAAAGTTGATGACATTATATTAGCAGTATTTTAGTAAGAAAACGATTGCTTATTCCTGTTGGCAAAAAAAACAAAATGTTATTTATAATTATATCTATTTGACAAGTAATGAATGTACTGGATATATATTTATATTTATAAATTTATTATATTTAAAATCAAAGCTAAGCTAATTCCTTCCTTGTCATAAAAATATTTTATTACGAGGAAAAAAAAACTGTTCTTCGAAACGGTTGATTGTCACCTGATTTTATTATAAAAATTTTATGATATATATTATTAATTTAAAATCAGTTTTTAAATAAGTAATAGTTCTTTTCGCAAAATTTTTCTATTCATAAATACGAGAACCAAAATTTTGCTTATAGACATTAATCCAATTGCCAACATCACGTAAATTTTACCTTATGTCGTGTTTCATAGGATATATAATTTTTTTAACAATTGAATATAAAAATAATAACATTTTTTTTTTGGGCCGAAAAAAAATAATAACATTTTAGTGTTAAATTTATTGCGTAGATTTTCATTAAGTAAAATATTTTGAGATTGGTCAATAACATAATGCTCTTGGTCAGAGGGATTAGGAGGGAGCCCTTTTTTATTGCTTTTTGCTCTGCCCGACTCTTCTAGATGACGATACATTAAAACTGAATGGACAGGCAGGGCACGTGCAAAGAAAACTGATCAATTTATTGAGAGTCTTTTTCGCTGTCAAGCAACTTTTTTAGTCTTATAATTCTTTTATTAACTAAATAATACTGTTTCCTCCAAGCCAATGACTCATTATGCTTGGAAAAAAGGGAAAGTTTACAGAGCCTTCAAATGTTGACTTCTTTTTCATTTGAGTCACGCTGTACAGTTGGCCAAACAAACAAACTACTATTTTCTAATCCATTCAAAGTAAAACATTTGCACAAATTTTATAATTATATAGTGTTTAACTAACATTACACATACACTTGTTTAACTAAAATTACATGTACACTTCTAGAAGAAAGAATTAAAAAAAATTAGGGAAAACCATATTGAAGGTACTATACTTTTTTTAATTTTCAATTGGTACCTATGTGTTTTTTTGTTCTTAACTAAATCTTTATTTTTCCTCTATTAAATCATTAATTCTTATGTAGAGACTAAAAATATCAATAGAACAAAGTTATAAAAGCTAATGTTGCTAAAAAGATAAAATTAAATATTTAATTAAAGGGAAAAAACACATAGGTACCAAATTAAAAATTGAGAGAAAGTATAGTACTTCAATATGGTTTTCCCAAAAAATTAATCTCACCGAGATTAGTTTATACAAAGGCTGACAATTCGTTGAGACAACAGAAATAAACTACGAAGACTGAAAACAAAAACAGGATTAACACATGAAAACTGGGGTATTATTTTCCTTTCGTTCAATTAGGCAAACAGCGGAAACAGAGCACCCGGGAAGAAGCAGTCTTTTGAGCAATTCTTCTTCTGGCTTATCTCATTTGTCATCCTTCTGTTTCATGTGATGAATCCCCCATTCTTATTCGACCTTCCAATTTTCCTACATATATTAAGCATTTAAGTTGATGTCACTTTATTTTATTAAATAGTTTAATGTCAAGTTTTTCTACTTTCCAATGACGATTATTTGTTTAATTTAAGTAATTTTGTATTATCCAAGATAACTGTGTATAAGATTGTCTCATAATGCGAAAGCGTAGAATGATTTTCGGGAGTGAATCTAAACCCACCGGTAATAATGCAATGCTAATAGAGATCCATGGAGTTTAGTGTCATCAAGGATAGATGGGGGAACTAGTAATCTATCTCCAATATTATACACATCCATGGGAATTCGCCAAGATCAAATCAAGAACTACAACATTTTCACAGAAGCTTCCTAGTCCTGACTTAAAACATTATAAATCAATAATATAGAGGGCTTGATCGGAGCAACATTTTATGTGATCCCACTAGGCCTTCAAAAATATGTTGTGGAAAATTCAGGATGCTTATTTTTCACGAACAAGAGGGCTATATACAGGGTACCACATATTTTCTCTGACGTACTCCACGGTCTCTTCCTGCAACCAGTGCAGCAGCCGAGTGAGAAGCAGATGAATTCAGGTGAATCCAAGATAGCATTAGGTTGCGTTTAGGTGAGATAAATGAAACATTATTTGGGGGGGGGGGGGGGGGGGAGGAACTAGAACTTAATAATAGTACTTGAAAGAAAAAAGACTCTCCGTGTCATAATTTCACCATGAACCTGATAACATGAACCTAAAAGCTCCCCTTATTCTTTTCCTGATAGAAAAAATAACAAGATAAAATTGATTTTGTATATTTGTAATGTTCAAATGTCAGCTAGAAGCATTTCCCCCATCTTTGGATCTCTCAGGGACTTGAGTAATCGTAAACCCTTTAGAATATGGAACTAATCATGTTTGGGATTCATAATCCCCCCCCCCCCCACACCAAAAAAAAAAAAAAAAAAAAACAAGCGCTTTCCAGCAGACTTGAACCCCCAACGTTGTGAGCGTCTTTCAACAGGTTCAAGCATGTCCTACCAATTAAGTCAATCTGTTTGCAACAAATCTTGCACATGCAGTTCTACTGAAAGAATGCAACATATAGGGGATCGACATACCCAAAAAAAATTGTAATATATCTAATATCTTAAAGTTTTATGAGCTATAAGTATTCCATACTTTTGACATGAGCGAGAGTTCTTTGAACCCTATCTCACCGCGCCCTTCTGCCAGCCCTTCTGCAACTGCTTCCCGCAGAACAGCAGCTCCAACCTCTGCTGTAACATTTCGGATACTGTAGCATGCAAACTGGAGTTGGTTAACCGTCAAAGGCCATTCAATTAACTGTCCCACTTCATATAAAATCACCAAGATTTTCTTTTTTTGCTTTTATTTCTTTTGAAAGATATCAGGCAGACATCTATTTTAGTGTACAACATAATATAATATGATTATAACTCTCTATAACCATTTTATTAGGATATGGATGAAATTTTTTTTTTTTTAGTCAGGGATGGTCAGAACAAAACTAGAAGTTTATCGCCAAACTTGGCATGCAAATCCTAAAATATACTCACTCCTTGATGTATTTGGAAAATTTGAAAATTTAATTCTGATATTCGATAAAAGAGTGACAGGAAAAAAGAAAAGTCGAGAGAAAACAAATATCACAAAATAACAAAGCAGAAATGGAATATTACCTATTAATGGACGGATACAAGATTCCTTTTAGAACTTCTTCTTCTGTCATGTAGGAAGCAAGGCTGCAAGAATGGAAGCATGTCAGCAATTTATTATAAAGGAAGGTATTGAGCCAAATCAGACATCCCAGCAAAGAAGAAGAACTTAAATGATGCAAAATAATAAAACCAACGCAATCAAAATTTCACCATAACACTCACTGAAGAAAGTTCATTGAATATTAAAACTAGAGTAGAGCCTAGGTGAGGTGCATACAATAGCCAGTTCGAAGTTACCACAAAGAGCAGGACCCAAGAAAAGCTAGTGAGCGATTAAATCTATATACAAATTTTAAGGCAAGAGATAAAGAAAATCAAGTAAAATTATTAGAGAATACATACAAGGGCAAACTACTCAAGGTATAATGAAAGACCTCTGGAAATCTATCAAGCTAGGATTTAGAAAAATCAGGCACGAATTTTCTCAAACTTCCGGTAATGCTAGCTCGGAAAGCTTGGGGTTGAGAAAGACCAAGCATAAAAGTTAAAATCTTCTGCAGCCTACCATTCAGAGGCTGCCTGCAACATTCCATCAGTTATAAGACGAGCACCTGACAGAAGAGCTCCCAAACCAATCCTGAAATGAAAGGTGACCATTGAAACTACATCAATATATTCACAGATATATATGATTCATGAAAGAACTTGAGTCCACAAGACATACCCTGGGAAAAGATACATGTTGTTTGCTTGATTTACATGGCCTACTTTTCCATTAGCTGCACACGGATTTTATTCAGAGGATCAAGGTAATTATACTATTTATTGTACAAGCAAATCCAGCAGAAATAACTGTATATATAGCCTCATAGATAAGGAAAATCTGATTCAGAAAAGATGATTCGAGGTTCAAAGGTAATCAATCACTTAAAACGAGATTTTACCAAGGTCTACATTTTGGAACGGACTTCCACTAGCAAAAACTATATTTTCTCCAGCATGTTTAAAAGCATCAGCAGCAGTGCACTCAGCTGTTCAAATGGTTAAAAACAAAGAGTCAGAATTAAAACACGGACACCATTAAGGAATTATGAGTGCTTGATAAGTCTTGTACAAACAAACCATTCATGTGGGATTAGACATGGCAAAGATAGCAGGTTTTGTCGAAACAGATTCTCTCATTGCCTTAAGCACCTGAGTCAAATCTCAACCATTAAAATTAAGAAATTCAATTGTAGTAAAATGCATATTGCTGAACCATAAGCTGCCAATATAAAACACATTTC